GATGGTTGTGGACCGGTTGACTAAGTTGGCGCACTTTATCCCTATGCGCGTAAGAGATTCGGTAGATCATTTTGCCGACTTGTATATTCGGGACATAGTGAAGTTGCACGGGGTCCTAGTGTCGATCGTCTCTGATAGAGATCCACGTTTTACTGCTAGGTTGTGACAGAGTTTGCAAAGTGCCTTGGGCACTAAGTTAACCTTTAGCACAGCGTATCATCCTCAGACTGACGGGCAGTCCGAGCGTCCTATTCAGATCCTTGAGGATATGCTTCGAGATTGTGTCCTTGACTTTAGTGGGACGTGGGAGAGGCACTTGCCCTTGGTGGAGTTTGCCTACAACAACAGTTTTTAATCGAGCATCGGTATGGCACCATTCGAGCCCTTGTATGGCTGACCATGTAGGTCTCCAATTTGTTGGGCCGAGATAGGTGATGCACCTTTGTTGGGCCCGGAGTTGGTGAGGGAAACGACGGAAAAGGTTGAGCTTATTCGTAGGAGGCTTGTGACAGCCCAAAGTCACCAAAAGAGTTATGCCGACTGTAGGAGGAGGCCTTTGGCATTTGAGACGGGTGATCATGTTTTTCTGAAAATATCACCTAGGCGGGGTTTGATGAGGTTTAGGAAGAGTGGGAAGTTGTCCCCTCAGTTTATCGGTCTCTTTGAGATCCTTGAGAGGATTGGGGAGGTTGCATACCGTTTAGCTTTACCGCCGCAGTTGTCCAGGGTGCATGACGTGTTTCGTGTTAGTATGCTTCGGAAGTACGAGCCGGACCCGTCCCATGTGTTAGATTGGACCGACTTGGAGGTTGGCGAGGATATCTCGTATGAGGAGAGACCGGTTCGGGTCTTGGATAGGCGGGATCAAGTCTTGCGAGACAAGACCATTTCCTTGGTGAAAGTTTTGTGAAAACATCACAGAGTGGAAGAAGCCACTTGGGAACGTAAGTTAGATGTCCGTGAAAAGTATCCGGACTTATTTGTTAATGTTTAACCATGTAATGGGAATTTTGTAATATTGATAAACTTTAAGAGCACGGAATATGTCTTAAGTTGTAAAACATTGTAAATGTTTTGATTTGCAGAAGTATTGTAAAACTTGCCTTGAAATGGAAGTTTATTTTAACATTGTATATGTTAATGATGTTTTAGAAATGCAAATGTATTGTTGGCATTGAATATGTTTTGAGATGCTTGTTGATAATGCATGTTGGAGATTATGTAGAAGTTGCCTCTTAAATAGAGATGGAATGACCGGTAATGGGTCGAGTTGTTGAATTTTGCACTGTAATAATGTGGGTAATTGAGAAATCATATTTTTGAAAAACTTGTACTTAATTTCGGGGACGAAATTCCTTAAGGGGGGAAGGTTATAGCGACCCTGGTTCTTCCTCTCTTGATTGTTGTATTCCGAACTTAGGTTCCGTGGAGTTGGTTGTTGTATATATCTTGTTGTCATCCTTTAATTCCATATATTTGAGACTTAGGATGTGTTGGGCGTGTTTCGAACAGGTTGGTTGAGCTTTTGTCCCAATTCTTGTTACCCAGATTTTTGGTGATCCGCTCGAACTGGTCCATTTGCGCTCGAGCGGAGTTTTCACACTTCCAGCATTTTGTTCCTCTGCAAAAGTACTGCAGGGTTGTTTTTCACGCTCGAGCGGAGTTCCTTACGCTCGATCGGGTCGCGCTCGAGCGGGCCTCTTGGCGCTCGAGCGAGTGTTCGCTGTCTGTAAAAGTACTGGAATGTGGTAATCTACGCTCGAGCGGGCTTTCCTTTGCGCTCGAGCGGGTGTATTTTGTTTTTGTGACTTGGCGCTCGAGCAGGTATTTTTGCGCTCAAGCGGGTCCAGTTTTTGTGTTTGACGCTCGAGCGTCCTATTCTCTGCTCCAGCGAACTAGTCGCATATCAGATGGCAGCTGAGTGATTTTGAATCACTTTTCACTTCTCCCTTCTCTCTCTTACTTTTCTAAGCCATCTTTTGAGAGCTCCTCTCTTTAGAATATACCTTCTCTTTAGGGATTGATCTAGCTTGAGTGATCTACTCCCTAAGTGTCTTTGCAAAGAGTGTAGAGCTTGGCTTGGGCTTCCTATCAATCCAAAAATCTTGGGTTTTGGAGCATTTCGAGATTTCTGCGTGTTTCGAACAGGTTGGTTGAGCTTTTGTCCCAATTCTTGTTGCCCAGATTTTTGGTGATCCGCTCGAACTGGTCCATTTGCGCTCGAGCGGAGTTTTCACACTTCCAGCATTTTGTTCCTCTGCAAAAGTACTGCAGGGTTGTTTTTCACGCTCGAGCGGAGTTCCTTACGCTCGATCGGGTCGCGCTCGAGCGGGCCTCTTGGCGCTCGAGCGAGTGTTCGCTGTCTGTAAAAGTACTGGAATGTGGTAATCTACGCTCGAGCGGGCTTTCCTTTGCGCTCGAGCGGGTGTATTTTGTTTTTGTGACTTGGCGCTCGAGCAGGTATTTTTGCGCTCAAGCGGGTCCAGTTTTTGTATTTGACGCTCGAGTGTCCTATTCTCTGCTCTAGCGGACTAGTCGCATATCAGATGGCAGCTGAGTGATTTTGAATCACTTTTCACTTCTCCCTTCTCTCTCTTACTTTTCTAAGCCATCTTTTGAGAGCTCCTCTCTTTAGAATATACCTTCTCTTTAGGGATTGATCTAGCTTGAGTGATCTACTCCCTAAGTGTCTTTGCAAAGAGTGTAGAGCTTGGCTTGGGCTTCCTATCAATCCAAAAATCTTGGGTTTTGGAGCATTTCGAGATTTCTTCATCATCTCCTTTGAGTTTCATCTCTTGAAGTAGGGATTCCTATCCATCTTTATGAGCTTTAACATAGATGTTGAGCTTTTTGTATAAATGGTTTGATTTGGGAAGTTAGGGCTTGAGATGTATAATGTTGAAAATAGGGGTTTTGTTCATTTGACTCATACATATGTGTTTTGGGTTTGAAATAGAATTTATTGATGTTGTTGATAATATTTGGACCTTTGGGTCAATATTGAGAAAAATGAAGAAAATGCCATGTTTTGGTATATTTGGGTCATTAGTATAACTAATGACAATTACTATGGAAATATGAAATTGAGTTGGGAATAATGTAATTGGCTCATTATGAGATAGGATGGTGGAGTTGGAATTATTAATTACTCACCTTGGAAATTGTTGATAGTTTATCTGTTGAATGTAATTATTATCTGTCTAGAAATAATTATTTTGAGCTATTGATGGAGGATAGTTGTAACGCCCCAACCCTTTACACGTCATCAATATTGTCCGCTTTGGGTCATGCCCGCACGGATTTGTTCTTCCCAGTGGGTCACCCATCCTAAAACTACTCCAGCCTAAGCACGCTTAACTGGGGAGTTCTAATAGGGATTTCACCACTTGGGAAAAGGCCTCGATGTTATATAAGGGTCTAGATTTTTACTTTTATAGCCCAGGAACTCCCCCTCCATTCCCGATGTGGGACACCGGGGCCTTACAATAGTCTTGATTGTTGTAGACAATGCATGATGATTAGGCGAGCTAAAACTAATCAATTGAATATGTCATTGAATATGACAATGGGAACAATACATCGAATTTATGTGTTGATTGATTGTGTATATGATATGTGTTTATATACATTGTGTTGTGTAGGAAGGGGGATGTATTCCACGGTTTAGAGGGAAGATGGGGGATGGACCCCTAAACCGGATTTTATTTGGGAGGAAATAAGGGATGGACTCCATTGATACAATAATTATGTGTATCTTTTGAAGTGTTGATACGGCAATTATGTGTATCTATTGAAGTATTGATACAGCAAATCTGTGTATCATCTATGAAGTATGGAAGTGTTTTATGTGTTATTGATACAGCAAACATGTGTATCTATTGTGATGTATGGAAGCACTGTTGATATGAGTTATAGTCTCATTAAATTATTAGCCAGGTTCTGAGCCTTATTCATAAATTGAGAACTGGATAAGTGATGGAAAATGGAATGAAACATGGACATATTTGTCATGAAACTGAAATGGATTATGAATTGATTTATGTGGGTTAAACATTTATCAAATGCCAATATTTTAGTTTTTGCTTATATTATGTTTAGCATATCTTTACTGGGCATTGGCTCACCCTATAAGGGACATCATTTTCAAGTGCAGGTGTTATGCCACCTCCAAGGACGTAGCGTGGGAGGCTTGAGGCTGCCAGACTCTTTTTGTTGTCTTGTTGTAATACATGTATATCAAGCCAATGGCTTATTTTGTGTGGAGTTAGTACTCTCTTTTTTGTAACCAAGTATTGACTTGGAAAGTTGTAAACCTATAAGGCATTTACTTTTGTTGTCAACATGTACTGTCTTTTGTAAGAAATACTCTGATGAAATGTAATTATGTTTCATTATCCTATGTCTACGCATGTTAATATTGTATGTTTTATGGGTTTATTTTGAGAGCGTTACAAAAATATTAATCATTAATGTTTTTAAAAAAATGTTCAACATGTAAAAAAATTTTAAAAAATAAAAATAAAATAAAAAAATTTCAGAAAAAAATAAAAATAATAAAATAATGATTTTTACTTGACAAAAAATACAAAAAATTAAATATTAATGTTAAAAAAAAATACCCGACATGTAAAAAATAAAATAAAAAATTTCTAATTTGTCGGATTATTTTTCTAATACCAAGTCTTGGGGGCCCATCCGAATCTCTTTAGAGAGGACCATCCTAATCTGGAGCTCACTACCAATCCCCTCCTCACCTCTCAAAATAAACACAATATTAATAGGTTTCACCTCACTACCAATCTCAATTCCCCCCTAACTCCCCAAACAAACGGGCCTTTGCTTCATCTGCAAAACTGCATTATATGACGTAGCTTCACCTCACATTCTCTCTCCGTCAGTTTCGTCCCCTTTCCGCGTAACGTAACTGATACAGCAAGTCAATATAACCTACAACCTCAATCACCACCGTTCATTTAAACATGAACGGTTTACGACGTCGGAAACTCACAATAAAACCCCTGCTCTACACCACACCATATAAACCCCCAGCACTCTTAAATATCTCTCTCTCTCTGTCTCTCCTCAGTCCCAAAGTCAAAAAAATCATCCACTCCAATTCTCTTTCTTTCTCGTCGCTTTCGGCTAAAATTCTTGCAAAACTCCCAACAAACTCTCCATTTCCCGAAATACCCCTACATTTTTCACCTAATTTCATTAATGTCCTCTCCTCCACCGCTCCCAATCTCGAACCCTCGACCCACTGCTGCCGCCGCGTCGTCGTTCGCCACACCGGCCTTACGCGCGTTCATCGCGCGTCTCTCCGACTCCCTCCACCGCACCTTGGCTCACCGCCGTCCCTGGTCTGAACTCGCCGACCGCTCCGCCTTCTACCACCCCGACACGATCTCTGACACTGCCTCCCACATCTGCAATAACTTCTCCTACTTCCGCGTCAACTACCTCACCCTACTCGCCGCTGTACTCGCCCTCTCTCTCCTCTCATATCCTTTCTTTCTCCTCACGCTCCTCTCTCTCCTCGCCGCCTGGCTTTTCCTCTACCTCTTTCGTCCGTCCGATCAGCCCGTCACAATCTTTGGCCGTTTGTTCTCGGATCGTGAAACCCTAGGAGTCCTGATCTTGGTCACCGTAGTGGTGATCTTCCTCACCAGCATCGGATCGCTACTATTATGGGCAACATTGGTTGGGTTAGGGATCGTGTGTGTTCATGGCGCATTTAGGGTTCTTGAGGACTTGTTTCTTGATGATCAAGAGCCTCTTGGATCTGGACTCTTCTCGTTCATTGGTGGGGCCGCATCTTCTGTTGCTGTCGTCGCAGCACCCTCCGTTTGACGACCGACGATCTAATGATCAGATCACACAAAGTTTTATTTATTTATTTTATATTTTAGTTCATTTGAACTGATCTGAAAGCACCAACTGCTTGACAGTATTTTGTTTTTTGGTTTCATACAAATTTTGAAATTTCGTTCCAGGAATTTTATAAAATGATATTGTTGATTTTTTTTTTTTGTGTGTGTTCTTGTTTATTCGAGCATGAAGTAGAATAGCAGCTGATTTGCTATCCTTGTATAGCAAAAACGGAAAATGATGAAGATAAAGTTCGTCATCGCCTTTTTTTTATTTTTTTGCTTTTCATGTGACGCTCTATATTCAACCTGTCATTGTCAAATTTTTCTTTAAAAAAAATAAAATAAAAAATTACTGTTTTGTTTTCAATTATTTTAATTAAAAATTAAAAAGTCATTATAAAAGATACCTAATTTTTATTTTACTTTTTATACATATTTTTTTAACAAGAAAATGCCCAACAGCGACAAACAAAGAATTTGATTAAACAAAGTGGGTGTTTGGAAAGTGAGTTTTTATGTAGGTTTTTTTAGCTGTAGGATATTATTAGAGAAAATTTTTTTAGTGTTTGGGAAGATAGTTGGTTTTTTTTGTGGTTGGATGTGATGTTTGTGAGAGAAAAAATGAAATGATTATGGGGTTGGATGTGATATTTTGTTTGGATTTATTTTTTTGTTGTTTTGCAAAAAGTTTGTCTTTTAGTGAAAAAAAAAAAAAAAATCCAACACACAAACTTATCAAAAACCACCAAAATAGTTGCTGACATTTGCAAAATTTCAATTACCCTTTCATAAATGGAACACCCTTTCATAAATGGAACAATACTATTCATCTTGTTTGGATTTAGAAAATTGAGATAACTTTTAAAAAAATTGAATTTTTTTATTTTATATATATATTTTTTGCTTTAGTCAGTAATATTTTAATTTTTTTTTAGATATATCTAACCTAGATAGATACACTTAAACAATATAATATTTATGAAAAAATTTGTAAAAAATTCATAAAATATAAATATATGTATATTCATAAAATTTTAGCATATTTTTGTATTCTTGTGTATTTATTGAATTTTTAAAATAGTTTTTTCAAAAATAGTTTACTTTTTGGGCAAAATTAGCCTAACATCCCTCTTCAACTTTTGGTAATAGGAGAGGTTTACAATTTTTACTTATTTATTTATTTATTTATTGTAGCCTAAGACCCCTTCTCTCCAACGACTTTGACTTCCTATCTTCGATGATCTCGACACCCTGGTTCTCTCTCTCTCTCTTTCTCCCCAATGGAATCGCAAAGTCGACGATAATTCCACTTCGAAGACACAACTATCTTTGTCATGTAACCACCATTGCTGCATTGGAATGATGTTTCAAAGCATCACCGTTGTCGGATTCACTATCGTTGGCTTTGTCATCGTCTCCGGAAATAACAACATCAGATAGTAGTAAGTGTGTGATCGCCGCTTGTCACTCTAAAAAACCCCTCTATCTCTCTCTCTCTCTCTCTATATATATATATATAAATGTATATATAGGGGGTGTGCGTGGTGCAGTTCAGGCAGTTCGAGAGTAAAATTATAAACCAAATGGCAAATTGACGAATTGACAAATTGCGGTTTGGGCGATTTTTGGCGGATTGGCGGATTGAAGAATATTCTAACTAATTATCATACATTTACATAATATATAACATTAATTTGTATAATATTTTTTTTATATATATAACACAATAATTTTACATAATATGTTTCATATATATAACTACTAATTTGTAATAAATTTCTCAGTTCAAGGGCAATCAGTGTTCCTTTGCCAGAGGCAGGGTAAAAGGGCCAGTCAGGCACAAATCACCAGTTCAGCAGTTACCAGATCAGTGGCCCTTATCCACCCCACCAGTGAACAGTCAGGCTGAGGTCTCAGTTTCTACTGCAGGGATAGATACCAGTCAGTCAGATGGAACAGCAGAACACATCAGAGATGGAGGCAATGATGCGCCAGATGCAAGAGAGTATGAAACTCATGGTGTTTACATGAATTGTTTATTTCAAAGGTTTTGCCAGTGATTTTCCTTGGACCCACATTCTTCTTTGCTCGAGACCCACCTTCTTCTCCTTCAACATTAGATGTACAAAAGTGGTCCCCATTCTAGTTTTTTTTATGTTCTTGTTACTTTCTTGTCTTTCTATCTTATTGGGTTTTTGAAAATGTTGTTATAAATGTGTTCAATTGCTAAATTTTGATATTATTTTAATTTTATGTATTTCCCTGTGTTTTTATATGCTTTTATGTGATTTTTAAATTTTTCAACATGAAAATAATAGGTGACCAGCGAAATTCCACACACACATGAACACACACTTGGAGAAATTTCATATGTCAAGGGAATTGTAATGTGGTTAGTGAAATTCAAATGCACAAGAGAGTAGTAAGTATGTGATGACCAAAGAAAATCAACATGCCAAAGAAATTTTATATCTCAAGGGAGTGTAATGTGTCTAGTGAAAATCAAATTTTCAACGAAATTCTATATCTCTAAAATTTTTGTGAATTTCTTTTTACAGAGAAATTTGTCTTAAATGTTTAAAATTTATTTGTGCTAAAATTTCTCTAAAATTATCCAAAATGGTGTTAAAAGGCTCAGAGATGAAATGGGTGACATTGATGAAACCGATGCCAAAGCCATCGTTCATGCATATGTCAATATAGTTGTCGAGCATGTATTTCTCTTGGTAAGTGATCATTTCTACACAAAGAATATTGTGAGCAAAACACATAAAAATTTGTGAGCAAATCAAAGGAATTTCGAACCAAAGAAATTTCAACCATAGAAATTTCTTTGTGTTTTGAAATATCTCTAAATTGAAATTTCTCTACGCTGAAATTTCTCAGAATCAAAATTTCTCAGTAAAAATGTTAAGGGACCCTAACTATGAAAATATTATATGTCATTTATCTTATAAATTCTTAATATCAAATAACTTAAAAAAAATTTCCCAGTGCATCTAAGTTATGTCCGTCTAGAAAGTAAAAAAATTTAGTTAAAATATTAGAAAAATTCATTAAAAATAAAAGAATACGAAAAATAAAAAATTCGTTTAGAAAATTAATCAAAACCAAACAATGTGCTTTTGTATCCATAAAAATTCAAGTCCTATTTTGCATCCAATTTTTTGGTTAAAATAGTCGCAAAAAAAATCAATTTTATTATCAAAATGTCATATCATGCACATTAATCAATTATTTTTTTAAAATAATTATTCTAAACACATTAATTTTTATTGCTTCATAAAAAATTCCTATTATAACAAAAACAACAAATCTTATCCGACCAAACAAAATTTTCATGTTTCTTACCTAGAATCATTAATCAACACCACAATAAGACCACAATAGATTATAACTTATGATTCATAATTAACTCATAACTAAACCCTGAAGTCATAACTTGGGCAACGTGTGTAATAAAGCCAAGTTCTTAACGAGCTAAAAAAATTCAAAAGTTAAAAAATCATTAAAAAAAAGTTCCCAACGAGCCCACAATCATGTTATATCGAGTTCGAATTTATTAAAGTTGAAGATCTCAACTTCACGATGAAATTGAACCATTATGAGACTGACTTTGACCCATTATTATTATATATAATTAATATGTATATCATCGGCAAACAAAAGATGACTAAGAGGAGGGGCACTCCCGACAAATTCAAATGCCATGAATATCCTTGTTAGCCTCAGCTTGACGAAGCATAAATGACAACCCCTCTGCATATAAGAGAAAGAGGTATGGAATTCAAATGCCAACAATATCCTTGTTTGCCTTAACTTGACGAAGCATAGAGGACGACTCCTCCTCACATAGGAGAAAGAGATACGTATAATGGCAAAGTTAGGATTTTGATTTAGAGGGGTACAATTAAATTGAATTCTTAACGATATTATTCACAATCTAATCGAATCCAATTTTCATATAGAATGACAAAAGATCGATATGATATCAAAATTATATACTAAGAGTTATAATTAACCGATAATTTTTTTTTTATATAAAATTTTAGTTCTTGAATATGATAATAATTACAATTTAAAATGTAATCACATTCGTACCCCACACACACAAAAAAAAAAAGATAGAGATGTAGAGAAAAATAATTATAAGAGAATATTTTTATAAAATTAAATATTTATAGTGATAAATTATTAAAAAGAAAAATGAAACATATAAATTATAGAAGATTTAGAAACATATTTAAAAATTAAAATAGAGTAAAATGATTTTTTTTTCCTAATTATATATAGAAGTGTAATTTTCAAAAAATTAAAGGGGCATGTTTCGCTAATTCTCATGTGGCTCTGTCACTAGATACAGAGATAACAAATTGTTTTGTCTTAAGACTCTCAAGCAAGTAATGAAGCTCTGTTTTTAACCATTGATTAACAAGAAACAAGGAACAAGTAGTGCTAGAGACCCACAAATTAGACTCTTAAATTTATCCATAGTGATGTGACAAGAGAGATAGGCCCCACATAATTGAGTACGTGCCAAATTAAAAAATATTTTCCATAAGAAACTCTTGAAATACACCCCATCTATCCATGATGTCTCGAATTATCAGTTCTTATATCTCTCTAGGAGAAGGATGTATAACCCATATTATCTGTATTAGGAAAAATTATTCAATAGGTTAAGTACATCATATTAGCATACTAATGTGATGTGTTCAACCAATGACATTTTAAAAAATGTGGTAGTTATTGGTAAAGTTTCTAAATTTACTTAATATTTTGTGATTTTTTCTCTCTATATACCATTCTATTAGTCGAGCACACTGCTAACATAGAATTCAAGACCTATGGAATAACTTCTCATGTATTACGTTCATTATAATTAGTGGTGTACATTTGGCTCGGCCCACCAGATCCCAGGCTCGGGCCGGGCCATGTTGGGTCGCGCGGGTTCTCGCAAAAATTTGGACTGAGTCAGCTCATAGACCAGAAAATTAGGCCCAGGCCTAGGAGGTATTCAAGCCTTAGACAGGGTAGCAGGCCTAGGCCTGGGCTCGGGCCTGGGTAGGTCTGAACATTTTTTTCTATTTTTTCTCCTAAAATTTTATTATTTTCCATTAAAAATGATACTGGGCCTCCGGTGGGCCAGGCTTTCAATGGGCCTTAAGTGGGCAGATGGGCTGGGCCGATCTAGGCGGGTCGAGTCGGGTCAGGTTGGGCTTCAAAA